CTTGGAACTTGAGATCTTCACCCAAAGGTTTTATCTTTATCAGCAATCATATTTGTACGAGCACTGCTTTCTCTGTAATTTGCTTTAAGAAGGGAAAAAAGGCCAGAGAACTCGATCCAAAGTCTGGTCATTTATTTAAACATGATTAATTAAAAGTGTTAAGATTGATATGATTAATTAAACATGAATGTGTTAAGATCGATATAATTAATTATACGTGTTAAAATTGACATGATTAATTAAACGTGAATGTGTTTATGACACTATTTATTAAAAAATGTGTTTATTATATTTATTAAAAAATTAAATTAAATTTTATTTAACACAACACTATTTATAATATATTCAAGTGATTAATACCATTTTGATTTTCATATTTTTTTGAAAAATATAGTTTTATACTATTTTTGATTGGTACATAGTACTAATTTTCCATTCCTACCAAAAGAGAAAAGAAATGGGTCCTTTCGAAGTACTAACAAGTCACTTAAAACCCTTTTAAACCCACAACTTTAACGTTTGGAATGGGTTGTTTGCAGCCTGAGAAACTGAGAGAGAAAAGTATATGAAATGACGGAAAATCCCAAGCACTCTCTGAACACAACACCTGAATCGTCCAGACCTTCGAAAATACCGAAAACCCAAGATCACAGCGACCAAGAAGAAGAAGATAAACAACAACAAGAATCAAGCATGAGCAAGAACCCTAGAATCCAACGCTATTTAGTAGCTATTGAGTACATTGGGACTCGCTTCTCTGGCTCGCAGCAGCAGCCCAATTGCCGCACAGTTGTTGGCGTATTAGAGGTAGTATCTTGGTCTCCGTTTTCTTTTGATTGCAAAGGAAATGAAGATGAAAAGAAAAAGTTTTGAAATTTTTGAATTTTGCAATGTAATTTAATATGCCCTTGTTTCATTCATTTTATTGCAAGGTTATTAGGTGCAGGTTGAGTTAACGATGGAGTGTGGTGATGTTGGTTTTGTAGGAGGCTTTTCTTAAATTTATTGGACAGCCAGTTTCGATTTTCTGCTCTAGTAGGACTGTAAGTCTGCATCCTTATGCTTCACACTTTGTTATTATATTTTCTAATCTACTTTTCCATTGCTAGTCATACATGTAATTTGAGGGTTACTTTCATGAATTAAGGCGCACAGAGACAATAATGTTAAGGGGGGTGTTTTTCCGAATTGAATCTTTATGAAGTCAAACTGTCAGGATATTACCAAGAAGTTTTCTTGGGGTGATAATTTCTAAATCAATCGACTTTAATTTCCTTGGATTTGAAAAAAAAATTGATTGCGATGTTTTATTTTATTCAGAACGTTGCATGGATGTTTAGTATTTTTCTCCTATTGTAGGATGCTGGCGTACATGCCTTATCAAATGTTTGCCATGTTGACGTGGAACGCATAAGCAAAAGGAAGCCTGGTGAAGTGGTGATTATTTACACATGAGTTTAATCTCCTTTTTATTCTGAATTTCATTTCGATTTAGTACTGGAAAAGGGCGGAGGTTTTTATCTTGTTGTTTGCTTTTCTTTTTGGACTAAAAGTGATGGAGACTTAAGGAGGAACTTTTGCACACATAAATGAGCTTTCTTGATGTTTAATCCTGACATTTTCAGGCATGTTTGCTGTTTTCATCATATGGATTCCTCACTATATATATGCACTTATTGGAGTATTTTGCAAATAACTGAACTTTCGGATATATGGCAACCACATAATTACTTTTTTTTGTGCTAAAATGCAGTTACCACCTCATGAACCATCTGTTGTTAGAAGAGCTGTGAACCATTTCTTACAGGTGTGTTTTCTGATGATCTTTCTAGTTTATGTATTAAGATGTCGTGTTTGTCTCCATTACCTTGATCATGTTGCTGTTGTGTATCTACTAACACGTGGTTTAATTTGGTTAACTTTAGAAGAGTGAAGGTGATATTACGGTGATTGACGTTCGATGTGTTCCGAATGATTTTCATGCCAGATATAAAGCTCAGGAGCGCACGTAGGTATTTGTGACCTTAATTTCTCTGTGGAGACTGTAACCATGTGGCTCAGCTGCAATATGTTTATAGGTGATAGAATTGTCTGTTGGAAGTTAGCACTTTCTTGTGGAACCTTCGAAGTCCAACTTTTCCCCTGTCAAATAAAATCATGGTTAACAGGACATATTACTATCTATTCTTGTTTTAAAGATTTGAAGAAAATTGATGAAAACATGTCCATTGTGTTGCTAGAGCCCTGTCCTAGTTGATGAGTTTGTTGATTTGTGCTTATATTTTAAATTAAAATGCAAAACCAGTACCTTGCTTTGCATGTGTATTGAAATAGACCTTGGCACTATAGGGTTTATGCATGTACATCATGATATGAAAAAAAAAGAAAAAAAGAAAAAGGGTCCTTTATGTGAGACTCAATACTTTGAGAGCTATTTGAGCACTCCAATCTGTCTTGGCTTGGCCCATCTTTTCAAATTGTCTTTTTCAGCTTGTTTCCAAGTGCACAGCATGCATTTTTGTTTTTTTGGATTTTTTATACTTGAACACAATATGTTCTTTATGATTTTTTTCCCACCTAACACAAGTGTAACAATGAGTAATTTAAACAGATGTTAATATTTTTAGGTTTTACTGAGGCCTTATTTACCACTTACTATGGTTAGAAGCACATTGATTCTTTATGATGCTCTAAAAGTGCAAGACAGTGATTTTCGTTTCTTTGAATTTCATGAATTGAACCATGTAAGATAGATGTTTGAATTTGTCGGAAAAATTTCCCAGGTACTTCTATCGCTTGCTATCTGGCTCAGAACCTTTGTCTACCTTTGAAAAAGAGCGGGCATGGCATGTGCCGGAGAAACTAGATCTATATGCAATGCAGGTGGTTTATTTATTGTGTTTCCCTTATTTGATTTAATTATTGGTTTATTCCACAAAGACAATATTTAATTTATATACTTGCAGGAAGCATGCAAAGTTCTTGTTGGTCATCATGATTTTAGTTCCTTCAGGGCAGCAGGTTGCCAGGTGGTTACTTTGCTCATGCTCATTATGTACTACATGGCTTTACATGTGCACATACACATACATGCATATATATGCTTTCATGACATACATAATATGCTAACTCCTGATAATCTAAATTTTCCATCTTTCAAATTTGATTGACTATTCAAAAATGCTGTATATGTAGGCAAAATCACCAATCAGAACTTTAGATGAACTCCATGTTTCTGAGGCACCTCCAACTCCTTTTTTTCCATCAATCACAGAGAAGAAGCAGACTAATTCAAGCACGGAAGATTCTCATGCATGCTCCAGGAAGCCTGAGATTGACCTGCCCATTGATTCATTCTCCAAGAGTGATGATGAGGTAGGCTCAAATAGTATAACTGATCTAGGATTTGGCATAAGGAGAAGACATCGCTGCTATGTGGTAACAGCACGTGCACGCTCTTTTCTTTACCACCAGGTTTATGCTATTGCCTTTTTATATACGACTTTTGTGACCCCTTTATTAGTTGTTAAATTCATTTCTTTGCTCAATTGCACTTTATACTTTACGCAACTATTCTCAACCCAATCTTAGGGAGACAATGATTGATGAACATTTATCTTTATTTGATGTCTTCTTTATCTTACTGGTAATCTTTGTTGGACATAACAGTTCAAGTATATATATTCAATCTTCTGCTGAATTTAATGCAGGTCAGACTACTTCTTGGTGTTCTCAAATGCGTTGGCACAGGAGAATTGACAACTTCTGATGGTATGGTTTCTTGTCTTTTGCATTTATGTGCATCTAGAGAATTTGCATATTGTAGTCTCGTGTTTAACTTTATATATATATTTTTCTGGTGGGTGGTCATGCATCAAAATGAATAATTTCAGTGGAAAGAATTTTGAATGCAAAAACAGTGACTGCTGCAAGTCCTATGGCCCCTGCATGTGGCTTGTACCTTGGACGTGTGAAGTATGATCTGCCACAAGATGCTTAAGTTGCTGTTTCCTATACGGGCTTCTGCTCTGGAATCTGATAGGGCAGAATAACCATGCTAATTAAAATTGCCTGGCGTTACTTCAAAAATTGTCAAGATAGATGGGTTCTGTTCTTGCGTTTAACATCTTCTGGAGAGCTGTCAACCACCTCTTGCTAAACCTCTTCGTTCAGCGAGCAGAATATTTTGGGATTGAAGAAATAGGAACCTTGTGTAGACTTTGGATACTTTTTAACAATCTGCATTGAGGTCATTAAGAAGTTGAATCCAAAAGTAGTGATTTTAATTAGCAGATTCAACTTTCTGGGAAACTCAATTCACTTGTATGGTGTCCTTACTTATCAATACAAATGGTTAGAACCTCCTTTGTCTTATAATAGCAGATGAATGACAGAAGAATTTAAATATGAGACTTTCATATTACCCCTATTTCCCTATGTTTTTACATTTTTTGTTCCTCAAGCCTTATTTATTCCAATAACACATGCAGCTGCATAGGGCTGTAAACATCCTCCCCTCCCCCCAAAAGAAAAACCCAACCCAGATTCAATAATAAAACCAGTTTGAATCAGCTTCTTGTTGTTTTGTAAATGGACAAACATTGTTTGAGCCCAAAACATTTTCGGGTTGGTTTTTTTTGTCTTGTCTATGTGGTTATTGCGGGTTATTCTCGATAGTTAGGATAAAAGCAATCATATAAACCAGCAATGGTATTATTTTATATTGGGGCCAGTGGGGATCCTATAGGTCAGAACTCGGGTGTCAGACAAACTAACACTAATTTAGGAACTAAAGGATTTTGGCACACTCGGTTTGCTGACTTTCAGTCATAATTATCTAGCCAACCACAACTATATTTGACAATTGCAGAGTGAAGATAGACAAGGAGGTGAACTAACGAGACGGTCAAAATTTCCCAACCATTCATGGAGACTTGAACGCAAACTTACCTATCTGACAAGCCAAACCCACCATTGATCTTGGTATATAAACTCACCACCACCCTTGGTTTTCCTCACTCAACACATAAAACAAAAAGGAACTCCTTTGCTTTGTGTAAAGATTCCAATCTTTGTTTCATACGTTGGAATTACTACAGAAATGGGTTCTTTCAATTGCTTCATCTTAGCCTTCTTCGTGGCGCTCACGTTTTCCAGCATCAATGTTGGCCTAGCAGCTCGTCGGCTTCAGCAGTTACCACCTTTGCCTCCGATGCCGACTTTGCCAAGAACAGGGGCGATGCCACCATTGCCATCTGCTCCAACACTGCCACAGCCTACAATACCGACTCTGCCAACCACCCAGCCAACGCTGCCTCCACTTCCTAGCATTCCCAACTTGCCTAGTGTCCCCAGGGCTACACTGCCACCGCTTCCGAGCATGCCTTCAATCCCCACAATATCAACCATAATTCCCCCTATTCCATTCCTCTCTCCACCACCTTCGACTACCAGTCCTTGAGACTTTGCATCGATCTGCTGTCTATCGTTTCAGCTTTCTTCTATTACCATGGAGATGCTAGAGTTTTCACTCTTTCCATTTCAGTTCATTTCTTCTTTCGTGAGCAGTGTGTGCTTTTCTTTTTCTCTTCACATTATTTCATCATCTTAGCATAGATGGGAGTTCCCTTATTATTTGTTGTACCATGTGAGATACTATTTTATGGATTTATATTCATCATTGTATTGTGATTTTATTCAGCATCGTACTCCTACTTTCTTTATTCTTCTATTGTAACAAAACACCTCTCTTCTCCCCTAAGATTATTGTTTTAAAGATAAAAAGTAAATGATGAAAACAAATTATTATAACATTTAATCAAAAATGAAATACGATAAGAGGGTGAAACTAAGAATTTGTCAATTTTTCGTGTGCTTGGCATCTAATAATTTACAGCTGTAAAATAGACTGCTTGCAAATGCACAGGCTAATCACCTATTTTACCTAGACAGATTTTCCAGGGTTACGTCAAACCTTCTTGACAAAGGAACCAGAGCATATAAAATAGACGGCATCCTTAAAGTAATCTACTTCATGAAAGTCTCAATAGCGGCATGAATTGGACTAGTTCGGGAAACCTGATTCTGCACCAAGGAATGAGGGCCACTCCAAACAGACTTCTGATTGTTAGGAAATAGAATTCCACATAAGTTGAGGAGAATGGGATTTTCGATGCGGAAGCTCTCCAACATTTGAGCTCTTTGTTGTCTTTCTTGTGACTCCTGTAATTACATCAACACCATCAACTCAATATATGACCCAAATGCATCCTAGCATAATAGAAATGCAAAATGTGAACATGCAAAATAGAAACCTTGAAACATAACTAAATATTTTACAATGTGCTTCATCATTACCACAAAAATATCCAATTTCCAAATACAGTGTACTCTTAACTTTCTTCCTACTTGATTGGGTCAAGGATTAAACACATTGTAAAATAAACTTCTTGCTTCTGTCAAGCATGAACAAGAATATGGTTGGGAGAAATGAACTTGGCTAATATGCTAACTAAGTTGCAATTCATCCAATTGATGCCAAAAAAGGAAAACAAAGAGAGACAGGGGGGGTGGGGGTGAGGAAAAGGGAGAGTGGGGAACAGAAATACCTTGTGTCTCTGTTGCTGAACTGCTCTACTTTCTTCCTCATTTTGTGCTAGAGTAGATACTTTCTGAGTTGGGGCTACTGCATCAGACTTATCCACTGCTTCAGGCTGAGATTTTCTACTATGCTCCTCTGACAATCTATCTCCAAACTGTGATTGCTCTTTTGTTTCGCCTTCACCTTTGTTCATAGTCTTTATCTCATTTTCTTCCTCATCCTCCTCTTCCTCTTCTTCCTCATCATCCCCCACCTCATGCCTCTCCTCCATATGGCTGTATTGCTGCTCAGACACGTCCACTTTCACCTTCTCTGCTTCACCTTCCACCTCAGCATCTGCATCTTGGTCCATCGATTCATCCATATTTAACGATGAATCCTCCGCATAAGGACTATCAATAGGTGAAGACTCCTACAGTCAAGAAATGGCAAAGAGAAGTTATTTTTCTGTTACCTAAACATTAGTCAAATAAATTAGCAGTAGCATACCTCTTGTTGGAGCTCCTGAGCTCCAATCTGACCTTTAGCCATTCGTTCATTTGCCTCACGCTCTCTCTTGCGTCGCTTCAAAACACATATAGCACACAAACAATCGCTTTTATGGCGCCTTCTGCAAAATTAAAAGAGAAAAACAAATAAGAAAAAAATTAATTAAACAAAACCTTAATGCAGTTGAAACTGTCCAGAAAGTACCATAGCACGTCAGTAACAACATACCCGTGTTTTTTATTTTTCATTTTTGATTGACCAGCTTTTATCTGCATTTTGCCCTGGCTGGACAGTGCAGCATCCTCAACTTCACCACCTTCGGCAGCTGTCACAAAGGAAATAAACACTGCTAATACAGCCATGTCTATGATACCAAAATAATCATTTCCTCCAATATAAAAGCAATGTTTTTTCTTGTTTTTTAAAAAAAAAAGGGACCAATATTGGGAGGTTTTGTTTTTGCACAAGGACCAGAAAGGCCAATAGATGTTATAAAGAGACTTGCAAATTTTAGAACCTTCCAGAAAAATCAGAAATAACAAATGCATAAGCAAATTCAGCATAACGAAAAAAAAAATGCATCAACTAATAAGTAGCACGAGTCAACATGAAACCTCACCATTTGTTCTCCTCGACTGTTCACTGTATAATCCAGCTGCTGTCCAATACTTCATGAAATTCTTCTTCACTCGCCTCATTAGGTCCAAGATAGCATCACCTTTGTTGTTGTACTTGCAACAATTATCCCAAATGTACTGTACATCCTTAAACACATCCTCTGAATTCATGTACTTATCACCATTTTCAAGATTGTTGCATATTGTTCCAAAATCCATTGGTGTGTCTATGATATCGAAATAGTCCTTTGTTCCATACAGGAAAAACAAAGCAAAAAACATGTCTTGTTAGACCTAACAAAATAGGAATGCCAAAGCTATATGGCATAAGGTAAGACAAAAATGTATCGTTCATTTTAAGTAACTAAGCCAAATATACAAGGAGCTGCACACAAATAAATAAAAAACCAGTTTCTTCCCTACAATGATATTTCTTTTAAAAGATCATCTACTACTTCATTAGAGAACAGTGTCAATAGCCATAAAGGCACAAGTGCATTGATATTCCAGAATCCCGAAGAAATTAACTACAATCTAAAAACCTTTGATGCAATGACTTCTTACAAACAAAAAAAGAACAACATGCTGCAAAAGTTTGAAACTTAATATCCCTAGGATTTAAATATAGTTAGTTATTTATGCTTACCGGTATCCCTAGAGCTTCAGGGTTCACAGGCTCATTGAAAGGAGCAGCTGCTTCCATTTTCATCACTTTCTTAATGACCTAGTGAGAGGGAACAACCACAATGGCCAGAAAAACATTAATCTAGGAACTGCACAATGAGAAAGACAAAATTAATGGTAATGGTAATCAATGTTAAACCTCCAACATACCGTCAAAGCAGAATCAACTTCTAGCTTATTATACCGAGAACCCTGACGAGGCATCTTTACTTCTTTCTGGAAAGAACTTTGGCGTTCTCCTGCTACGATATTACCACTCTTATCAACATTTGAACCACCCAAAATCCTCGAAGGCTTAATCTTTATGCTTCCAGCTTTCCTTGACGCACCACTAGAAACACCCATTTTCACCTCGGCTGATGAATTAGCACTATCTTCCATTTTCTCATGAACCACACCTTGTCTCTCAAACCCTACTTGAGGACTGCTCTTGTCAGTATCACTGTGTGATGGCACATCAGATTCCAACGCTTTAGATGATGTCTTGAGCTTCACCTTAACACGACCGACTGGCTTTCCTATAGCCTTAACAATGGAGCCATCAGGATTTATGCTAGCAACATGCAATGCCTGATCGGTTCCGGTCGATGAAGGAGTATCAACTTCCATTCCCGACTCATATTCATCATTAACAGAATTCTCTGCACTATTTACACTCATAACATTCACAGCTGCTTCATTCACGGCCGCAGAAGCATTGGCTTTTGCTTTGTTCCCTTTCTTATGCCCTCTTTTTCGCTTCATCTGTCTGAACAAAAAATTGGTCTTCTCTTACACACTACAACCGAATCATATTCACAAAAATAACACAAATTAAATCAATTCCCATTCCACTACTCCAAATATTACTTCTTTTTTGAAATTACCCATAAACCCAATTCCCCAAAAACCCTAGAAAGTTCGTTTCGTTCTTGTTTTTCTCAAAGAGATATCTTTGACGGAAAGAAAAGGTAAAGAACCGTTAGAATTAGCATAAGCAAATAAAGAGAAAGCATAATTCACAATAGCAGGTTTGGGTTCTTCGTGGTCTAATCACCGAACAAGAAAATAATGGCGGGCCTGATCAGCAATCACCAGAATTTTAAAAAAAATTAATAAAAAAACTTTTGAAATAAATAAGAAAAAGTAATTTATTTTATTTTAAGAAAAAAATAAAAAGAAGGATTTGCTCGGAGAAAAAGAGAGAGAAAGGGCTTACCTTTGTTGTCAAAATCCGAGAAAGAAATTAACGTAAGGAGGTTTTAATTATTATAGCTGTTAAAGGGTTATGTTTTCGACTTCGGAGGCTCCAACGTAGTACCCTGAGTTGGATCCAACGACGTCGTTTGGTACACGTCGGTTAACCTCACTCTTTTTCTTTTGTTCTTTTGAGTTTATACCATGTATAACTTTTTCTGCACGTAAGCATTCAAAATTTATTAATATTTTTTTATGAAATGTTTTACATTTACTTAATCACATCATATAAATATAAATTATTAATAATTAATGAATATATTTGAATATTAAATTCATTGATTGGTGATTTTTTTATTAAAAAATAAATAAAATTCAAATTCTCTTTCCTAATTATAAAAAGAAAAAATTATAGATTCGAATATGATACTATTAATTCAACATATATCAAAGCATTTTTATCCTTACAACAGTTGAAAGTTGAAACCAAAGGCATTGGAAAAGTTCCTTTGCCATATTACACAAAACAGTGAGACTCCTAGGAAGGAAATACAGAAGCACCAAAAATTTTAAGTGGTCTTTCCACTTTGACACGATACTTGACAGCGCCAACTTGTTCTCCCGCACTGTAAAACGCAACTCTATCACCAACCCTCAGCTGTTTGCTGCAAACAAACTCTCTCCATCCCTTGCTAAGAACCGGCTTCAGGATATTGTTGTTGCGCTTCTTACGGGTGTAAATTCGAAACCTCCAGACATGGCCACTCTCCTCGTCTTTAACCGCAAAATCCACCGTATGCTTGTCACTTAGAGGAGGGAAACAATGGAGGGATTTGCTTGGGATCGTCAATCGTTTCTCCAAATCCGTCTTCTTAAGATTCTTTAAGAATATCGCCATCGATGGAAGTAAAACGAGTCGCGGGGCTAGAGAAAGACCAGAAAACTGTGGTTTGTGCCTAAGAGAAGGAATTCCTCCCATATATAAAGAAGCTATCGAGTTGCTACTTCAACTACTCCATTGACTTCACTGCCTTGTCTTCTTCAAGGAACCCTCTAGGAACCTTCCTTCTTGTTTCTGACTGCTTCTTCTTCTTTAATTAATCCTCAAGGAGCCTTCCTCCCTGTTTCTGATTGTTGAACTTACGGCACTTTGATTGTGACTGTTCTACGTCACCCCTTGTGGCTATGGCCAACACAAAAAATGTCTAAATGAATCTGTGAGAGACAATTTATGGTGGAAGAATATAAAAATTATACGGTTCATAACTTCTAATCAGATTGACTCCGTGAAAATCCCCAACCAAATATCACTTAAACAATTGCAATCATTTCAATTCAATCAGAATTAATTAACTGCATTCAATGATTCATTTTTCAAAAGTTCACCATAAAAACACCGTCCAATTATAATCAGCATAAAGCCAAGTCCAACAAAATGTTGGTGAAGTCCATTAAGCATCATCCTCTGCATCTGCAGCCTGAAAAAAGTCAGGACAATGTTTATACACAATTTATTGGCAGAACTGGAATTATATAACATAACCCTGATGCATAGCTGGAATGACAAAATGTACAAAGATTTCAAAGGGCCAATATGAAACAACGAAAAAGACGTTTTCCTTATGCCATTGACAAGTTGATACAAGAGAGCCTCTACAGATTAGTAATAGGCTGTAGCATCCATGGAAGGCAATATCATACATGCCCATGAAGATCTTTGCAAGTTTTGTAATTTGCAAACAACTAATTCACTTAAAATAAAATCTAAAAATCCCACAATAAGTAAGTTTTCAAGAAAACCATTCCACAACCAGTGATGAAGTCGAAGCCTTTTCCGAATTCCAACAAGGCAGGTTTGGTTACTAAGATCACATTACAATCTCATGCAGTATTAGGACCTTATACTAAGAAGATCAAAAAAAAAAACCAAGCAGGTTCTCCTTTCATGGTTTCCACCAATATTCTTTGGCCTTCATTCCCCCTTTTCACATGGGTATCCTCCATTAAATCACATACTTTTATAGAAGTGTGTATAGACTATAGACCATAATCTCACACCTCCAAAGTCCAAAGCACCTCTTGCAGAAAGACAGTTTTCCAATGTCATACGCTACAATTTCCACATTATATGTGCTAATTATATTAAACACTTTTAAAACCAAACGACAAATGCATGAAATCCTACTTCCTAAAATATCCAATTATTTCAACTCCATAGCAAATGCAATTCTGCAACCATTTATGTTTTCAACAGTCAAGATATTGTCCTTAGGTTTTTGGAAATTTAATTTTCTATCAATCTTCTATAATACTTTTCATAATAGTTTTGCCCACCAAATACTTGCCTATATGCTTAGAACCCTACATGCTCAGAGCCCCTCATTTTCAAGACCAACTTGACCAAAACAGAATGTTTATCAGCACTTGCAACATTTACAATTTTAAGCTAATTAGTTAACATGCCCAATAAAAGGTCACTACTAAATATTTACAAGGCAAATAAGGAGAAAAAGAAACAAAGAAACCTTCAAATAAAATAAAAAAAAAATCAACTCATTGAATCTGCATGACTTGATGATGATGATCATTGTAGCTGCTTTGAGTGCTTGGGAGATTTGAGAGTATCAGAAACAGTTAGAAATCAGCATAACAGTATGAGTGTATGAACCCAAAAGGTTACCTGTTCAGAACCCAAAATTTTTGAAGATCCACCAATCTTCTCAAGAAACTTCTCCATGTTTGAATTCATTCTAGCTATGTAGTTTCCAAAAGTGCATATTTTTCCTCCATGGCCCTCCATTTTCACCACCATCTTGCTCACCTCTTCAGTTGCTCACTTTTTGGCATCAGAAGCCATCCTCACAAGGTCATCACAACTATGTCTTGGGCCAAAAACAGCAGTATGAGTGGCACCCAATCCATAAGTTTGCACATGGTTGCGTTTTTCTTCTCCCATAACTTGACAGAAGGTGTCATTTGACTCATCACTACCTTGTGAGTTATTCTGTTTCTCAGCTGCTTGTTTGCGGAGTTTTGACTGCGATGATAATAAAAAACTTATCAAGGAGTGGACAGATTTACATATAAATAGGACTAATAAGAAATAAATTAATTACTTATACATACAATAAATGCTGTCGCTGTCTCATCAATAGGCTGCCCATTCTTGCGTGTCAGTGTTAATAATGAAGCTCAGCTCTAGTAGGCTCCTTCCCATCTGGCCTCTTGTTTCGCTATTTCCACAGCAACAGCAACAACTGCTTTCAATATGGATTGCAAAACGAAAAAAGCAAAACATGAGAAATTACCTCCACCTCACGTATCCTTGCATAACTCTTGGTGCCTGATGCATGTCCGCCCTACTGTTTTGCACGGTTAGCCTTATTTGTAGCACAACGCTTCTACAAATGGCATATGTAGAGAACATGTTTCCACATTTCTAATGCTAGAGAGGAGAATTTTGAACTACCAATAAAATTTGCACCAGAATAGAGGAATTGGAATTTGCAATTGCTGCTCCTCACATACCTTTGTGTCATCAGAGTTCCAATATGAGATAAGGCTTAGCCATTGCTCAGGAACCACCCGTGGATCACGTACCTTCAAGCGCTCTTCATCGGTATTCAGAGCATCATAATATGATGCCTTTAACTCTGCCTTCCAGTCCCTCCATTTTGTAGCAGGAGACCGCATGACCCAAGACTTGCAACTTGGATCAAGGTCAACTTTGTCTATAGCACATAGAGGAGGCAAAATGTCACTAAAAGAGAAAGCAATAAGACACAAAAAGAAAGGGTAAAATGTCTTATCATACCTGAACATATTCCCACATTCCCTCTTTGTAAGAATCTGGCATTGCCCTCCAGTGACAAAATTAAGGGGTGCCCTGTGTCCATTCCATGCTATAGTGTCCAGGAAGCTGCTTAGCTTGGCTGACTCAGGACCAACAGGCTGTCGGAGCTTGTTGACATGGACAAATATCCGCTCACCATCTGCCAGGTCATTCAAGAAGAGGCAGCGAGTGGGACCTCTTCCCCTCTTCTTCTTTTCAGGGAGCTGTGGCATTTGATGTGGCTGTTCCTGGCTCTGCAGGGTCTGCTCAGACTGGAGTTCAATGGGGCCCAACTGATCCTGATTTTCTAGGTAAGATTTGTTGGTTGTTGGGCCAGTGGAGTACCTCAGTGCACATCTAATACCCCTCAAGGCAGAATCTGTAAGTGACAAGTGTGAATGTTCTGCAAAGAAAGGAAAAAACAGATGCTAGCTACCCCAAATTAAAACCTAATATAAAAAGTTACATCAAGACTGAAAATATTGATGCATTTGCACACAGAGGAAAACAAACTATAGACTTACACATTAGATAAGCAACATAACTCATGATGCAATTTGACAAGTAATTGCTGATAATTATGTTTAGCATTTGTTTATTTTCATTACTGCTTTTCAGTTGGTGCTAATGGTTAAATTAGCAAATTGAATGGAAGATAAAATCATCCATATAAAATTTCATAAACACCAGAGTAAGTAGATAGTTCATATACCAGGTGACAAAGAAATAGCATATAAACAGTACCAATATCAACATTATCTTGTAGTAGGGATGACTGAGGCTGGCAAGGGCTTGCCTGTGGCTGCAGTTGCTGTTGTTCAATAGATTGGCCATGGCTCAATGAGGACTGTTGGGGATGTGATTGGCTAGGGCCGACAACCATGGGATCCACTGGACACCAAGGCACCTGCCCACTGCACCTTGTATAATCTGCTTGTGGCAGTGAGTGCGAGTGTCCTAGCAAAGATAAAGGGAAGTTAGATATAGTTACAACACAAATTCCTCTACAGTGGAATCTTCATCTTTTATTTTACCTGTGATTGCAATATGTTCTGCAGATCCTTCGGGGAAAAACATGTAAGTATATAGAGACAAATGAAAAGAAATTAAATCTTGGAGTAATGCAGAAATGATGCATGCTTCTAAACTCAGAACCTGTAATGCTGGATTATCAAATAAAGAAACAAAATAACTATTGAGAATGTAATGTCCTGATTACAAGCTAAAAGGCAGTGCAAAGATTACAGATGAACTGCTGTGCTCACTTACCACCATCTGCAACAGCCTGCAATTGAGAGGGTTGGTTGATGCTCTGCTGCTGCTGCTGCTGCAGACCATATGGCTGATTGTGGCTCAACTGTTACAGCCAGTGCAAGCTTGTAATTGGGAGAATTATGGCTGGTTGTGCTGTGATTGACAAGGTTGATGATAACTTACTGGGGGAAACTGGGAGAACTGTGGCCATGCAGTGCTTGGAGGAGGTTGCTGTAATTGATGGGGCCGATTGGTACCCAATCTATCCTGCTGTATCTGACTGGCACCACCTACTGCAAGGCCCACTGGACTGAAGGGCTCACCTCTGCTATGCCTTGTGGCATAGTCTTTCATAGATGGTTCATACGAAGGTCCCACTGAATGAAAATCCAATAAATAAAATTAAAAATGAATACCCAAAGACCAAAACAAAATCCTCACAATGTATTTATGATTGAGAATTCAACACAAATCTCAGATGTATAACTAGACTCATTGAGAAAGATAAAGAAAGTCTATCTATATGTATATTGGATTGCTATCATTTTGATACCGGCTGCACTAGTTAGTTCTTCAAGGGAAAAAATGGTGAAGTAGTCAATATAATAGAAAATCTCTTTCCAAGAAGCATCGGATGTTTGCCACTGTTAAATTTGGAAACCACCTGAAAAGTAAAAAACAAATAATAATTGTCAACACATACCATTGATATTTCTTTATTGTTCAATGCGCAAGCCAGCGCCGTCCAATACTTCATGAACTTTTTCTTCACTCATTTCATTAGATATACAATATGCTCTCCCTTCTTGTTGCACTTGCAGCAGTTCTCCCAAATGTATTGTACATCGT